ATTTAATTTCTCAGTTACCCCAGCCGTTTATCCCTATGCACAGATGCCAACAGTCGACACTACATGTGGAGTCTGACCGGGGACAGACCGATGCGATCAAAGAGGTAAGCTGTAGGAACATGCGATACAACAACATGCATCGCATATTTTGAACGATGGATGTCCGACAAGAATGGATGATTATACTGGCCTTTGGTTACACATAGATATAACCCTCTCATCCAGAAGTATAGGTCAGTACATGACACGGTGAACTGGCAATGATCTGCACTCTAGTGATCACTGCCCAGTTTATATTACATTCGAAAGGGATCAAACAACGGATCTTAACTCGCACACATTTCATGGGTGGAATGTGAACAGAGCAAAATGGACAGAATTTACAGACAAATGTGATATGCGATTTGATGAAACAACTGGTATCGACAACCTTGTGACTATGACTGAGACTATAGTCAGAGTAGCAACGGAAACCGTTCCTCAGAAAAACGGGAAAACAAAATATAGCTGCCCTTAGTGGAACGAAGAGTGCAAAGACGCTGTTCGAAATCGTAAAAGGACACTTAACCGATTTAGACGGAGTCGACAGACTGTCCACCTAATGGAGTCCAAACAAGCTAAAGCAAGGGCCAGGCAGGTTATTCGTAACGCCAAAAAGAACTCGTGGGAAAATCTTTTGCATATATTCAACTACACCACTCCTGCACAACAGCTGTGGGGTATTATACGCAGATTTACGAAAAATGAGAGGTCGCAAAGGTCGCTACCTGTTTTAAACATTGACGGTGCTATTATTGATGACCCTGAGGAGGTAGCGGATGTGTTGGGAAGACACTACTCCAATACTTGTGCTTCCCAGAACTACCGACCAAAATTTAGGAATCATTTAAATGAACTGATACAAGAAATGCCAAGCTTTTCTTCTGACAACAACGAGCTATATAACACTGTTTTCACCATAGATGAGCTCCAACAGTCCATTGCATTGTGTGGAAACACCTCGATAGGCCCAGATAAAATCCATTATGCTTTCTTCAAGCATATGAATGACAATCAGTTAGAGGAAGTTTTGAAAATGTTTAATTATATATGGTGTTCGTAAAGCTTTCCGGTCCGGTGGAAACACTCCACTATACTCCAATTATAAGCCTGGCAAACCGGGCGATAAACCTGGATCATATAGACCGATTCAGTTGACGTGTTTCAGCAAATTAATGGAAAGGATGTTGGCCAAAATACTTTCATGGTACATAGAAAATAACAATATGATATCAGAGTATCAATGTGCTTTTAGGACGGGAAGATGCACCTCTGATCACCTAATTTGACTGTAGTCCGAGGTCAGAAGAGGTTTTTTCTACCATAAATATACATTAGCGGTCTTCCTTGATTTAAAGAGCGCATATCACCTGACATCAAAGGTGGCACTCCTGACGAAAATGTACCAACTTGGTTTCCGAGGACACTTAATGCATTACCTAAGGTCTTATCTAGATGGTAGAACCTTTCAGGTGAAATGCGGTGTACTCTCCAACATATGTGAACAAGAAAATGGACTTGTGCAGGGTGGGGTGATATCCCCTATTCTGTTCAACATCATGATAAACGACATTTTCAATGATGCCCCCAGAAATATGTCCAACGCGCTGTATACTGACGACTGTACAATGTGGGTGCAAGGAAGAAGGATTATGCCATTAATCGAGAGAATGCAGACAGCACTGGATCGTGATTGTGCATCGGCAGACAAATGGGGGTTTATTTTTTCGCCTCAGAAGTGCAAGGCCATTATTTTTCGACGGTTTAGGAAGGAGCGAAAATTAAGGAATATACCGGAACTCAAGATTTATGATCAGCCTGTGACTTACTCTGAACAAGTAAAATTTATCGGGGTCATGTTAGACTCCAGACTCAACTTGAACAAGCATATTGAGTACACCAAGGCAAGGGCTCTAAAACGAATATCGATTTTAAAATGTCTGGCAGGCCGAGGATGTGGCGCTGATAGAGCCACCCTCCTAAGAATCTACAAAGCGATGATCAGGCCCATTTTGGAGTACGCATGCCCTATGCTAGATGGGCCGAATAACACAGCGATCGAGTGATTAGAATGTGTTCAAAATGCATGCTTACGTGTAGCAACGGGGGAGTTGAGAACTTCACCTATCCTTCCATTACAGGTCGAAACAGATATTCTTCCACTTCGATTTCGATGACATGAATTGACAATAAGATACTGCATGAAGGCACGAGGCGAGGACAATCATCCGTGTCAGAGACTTGCCACTGAAACGACTTTTTTACACCAAGTGGAAAGAGAATACATGAAAAGAATCTCTGGTTTTCCACTGTACGAAAGAATGACGGGCATATGTAACGAGATATAATTCGACTTCCCTCATGACTAAGAGACAAAGAAAGCTTCCATACCATCCTGGAAGCTACGCAAATGTGAAATAAAAAAAACTGACGAATGAAAATAAGAGTGCTCTGAATGTATGTCAAATACAAAATGGCTTTTGTGTACTCAGAACGGATACCCCTGATTTACTTATATTTTTACGGACGGTTCAAAAACTACTGAGGGACTGGGCGGTGCCTACGTCCATGGAGAAAGCTACTGCTGGATTTTAACTGCCAGGAAAGTGTTCAGTGTTTGTTGCTGAAGCCGTGGCTTTATCTCAGGCAATGGAATATGTGGAAAGCAAGGGTGCACCGAAATGTGTAATATGCACTGATTCTTTGTCGGTGGTCACTGCACTAAAAAAGTATACTTCTAACCATCCGGTGATGATAAATATTCTTGAAACCTCGCACCGTTTGCTAGAAAAAGGGTTCGAGATTAAAATAATGTGGATTCCAGGTCCCTGTGGTATAGCAGGAAATGAAACAGCACATGCGCAGGCAAGGGCGGCAGTGCTGTTAAACGAAATACTTGAAACCCAAATAGGCTATAGAGAGTACTTACCGACTTTGCACTCTGCTATAAGAAATTCTTTCAACAAAGCCTGGCATAGGCACGGACCTCATACAACCCTGAAAACGGTAAAATAGAACATAGGACAATGGGACTCCTCAACGAGGATCAACCGGCGCGAAGAAATCCTCCTACGCCGACTACGACTAAGACGTACAAGATATACCCATTCGTTCCTTATGGATCGAGAGGCCACGACCTACCTGTGAGAGTTGCGTATGCCCTCGAACAGTACAACATATGCTAGTGGAATGCCCATCGTTTGCGCGTCATCGACGACGCATTGTGGAAATATGTCACAAACAAGGAACGCCACTTCGTATGAAATCCCTAATTGGCAATGATTATCCAGTTCCTATGACAAAGTGTTTAAGTTCTTACGCCTTTGCAAGCTTTTGAAAGAGCTATAGTGTTAGTGCATGATTCTGCGTGAGCATGTATGACAAACCTGAAGCTTGTAAAAGTGTGGTCCTATCATGTGTATGCATGCGTTTTTCTTTTTGTTTTTCTTTTGATCCACCAAGTAACATGGCTACTGTGCGTGCCGTTCGCCATGATTTGAAGTTCAATGCGAGGTCACAAATGTGCTCAAGTCTTGTGAGGCATCGTAATTGGTGGACGGTGGTATGAAAGCAGTAATTGATTCATGTTTCTGTGTACGTACGTGTGTGTGTGTGTGTGTGTGTGTGTGTGTGTGTGTGTGTGCGTGTTCATGTGCGTGTGTGAGCTCGCTTCTATCTTTATTATTTTGCTATAACTTTATATTGCTTTGTAGTTTACCATTATCAGGGAAGACCCCGTAGCGAGGCGAAAAACGATGAAAGACCAGAGACCAACTCGTCGGGCTGAGCGAACCATAAGCATAGACGCGAACTGTTTGATAAGGTAGCAATATATAGATGTTTAAATGCGACGCATGGAGAGCAGATTCTGCGCCAGAGCGCTGACAAACAAACGTGCGTGCCACCGCGGTTCATGTCGTGTCGTGTGCCACTGAAGTCGCGAGATCTTGCACTATTGTTTGAGTGTGGAACGAACGAGGCGATCGGGGATACCAGGCCTGTCGGTATAAATGAGGAGTTTACTTGCACGTAGATACACTGACTCCTAATCTGTACCTCGAAATATTATTAACTGCTGAGTACTAATACACCATTTGCACCAGGATCCATCCCGTGGCTAAATCTTCCATGTTCCTCTACCATACCTAGTCTCAACAGTATGCCAAAAGAAAGTTGCGAGGAAAATCTGAGTACAAAAGGGACGCAACGAAGACAACTGAAACGGACGCTTGAACCCGGTAGGCTATGCGCCATAATCCGAGATAAGACAAGATTAATGCTCCGTCTGTTAAAAGGAAGTTCCACATTTTTGTGGGATTTTGAACCAGTCATCTTGAAGACCTTTCCGTGCTGTTCACACTCCTGCACTTCCTAAGACCTAACCCCTCTAGTGTCTGAGCTAAACGCTCGTGAAAATGGGGAAGGTTTATCGGGAGGAGATTTCAGTCACCTTGGCATTCATGACGTCATAATGGCATCATTCAAATCCTGCCATTCCATAAGTCATGCGGTGGTCAAGGCCAATAAAATGTGATTGTCGAGGCGTTGATATCTGACGTTGGTGAGCGCGGTTTCCGGATATAACGGCCATCAATTGGGTCTCAATCAATGTGGTGCGAGGCACGACGACCTAATCAAACCATGATGCACTGAGGAGCATCTTTACTAAACGGGGAATTATGCTGTCTAGAGCAGTTTTTCCACTTGAAAAACACGTTAATAGTTGTATGTGAACTTGCCTCATCATATCTGATGGTCGCTTCAATATAATGAAATATGAAACATTCCCTTTAATCCTCATGAAGAGTAGGCCTTTCAACGTGTTGCTGGAAGCTATTGGTGCGCTGTCACAGCCGCCATCGCCCCGCACGTCCCGTGCCGCACAAGGCGTCTGGACAGTTATGTAATAGTGTCGGATGGCTTCAGTTGAAATCTTCTCCTAGGCACTTAATGAAAACCAATCAGCAGTGAATTTGCAGATAGATTTTTCTTCAAAAGTCAATCCATCTATCGATGGAAGACAAGTCGAATCTTTTTCTTCAATTCCTGTACCGAAACCCGCAAACGCTCGACAAACCATGCGTTTCAAACCGACACAGTATACACCAACACAACAGGCGCAATATAGCCATCTCTCGACAACTGGAAATGTCACAGATCACTTGTAGGCGTAGGTAGCATGCTTCGATAAAAAAACAACGCTGGTACGTTCCTGGACACCGGACGTGATATAAACGATGCAGAACATGCCTAACATGGCATGTGCGGATCCATACATCCGCAGCATGTCCCAAGTGAGCAAGAGTGACCAAAAACACGTTATGACACGAAATGATCTGAAGTTTTAACATCACCAATTATAACACGCTCCGACGTGACGCCTGCGAGCTGGCCGCAACGCATCGATGGAATGCGAACTTCCTGGTCCAATACTAATGACCACTATTAGGCGGCGTCGTTGCCTGCAAATTATGGTGGTGCGCCAGCCTCCAAGGCAATCACACGCAAGGTCACGTGGACCTGGCCAGGCGGACAACTGTGCTCATCTGCCCAGCAGACGCCCGTTGCGACACTTTTGGACGTACGCCCACTTTCCGAGCAGTCCGCAACAGACACCGCAGCACTGCAGGGACCATCCCAGCACCGCAGCGCTGCAGGGACCACCTCAGCACTGCAGCACTGCAGGGACCACCCCCGCATCGCAACACTGCAGGGACCACCGCAGCGCTGCAGCACTGCAGGGACCCCTCCACCCCCTCAGCACCGCAGCACTGCAGGGACCACCGCAGCGTTGCAGCGCTGCAGGGACCACTCCAGCACCGCAGCACTGCAAGGACCACCTCAGCACCGCAGCGCTGCAGGGACCACCCCAGCACCGCAGCGCTGCAGCACTGCAGGGACCACCCCAGCACCGCAGCACTGCAGGGACCACCTCAGCACCGCAGCGCTGCGGGCCGAGCGGGCCATCAGTCAGCGGCACCGTGTGATGCGGCGCGCGCAGAGCCAGCTGTCCGGACGCCGGCCGTACAAGCCGCCGGTGCGCCGTACTTAGCCGCGGTCGCACAGCGCCTCGATGACGGAGAACTCCATCAGCACGGGCTCAAGACAGCGGTGTATGGCTGAGCCCAGCACCTCGTCCAGCAGGCCGTGCAGCAGTCTGCGGGCGGCCCGGGGGAGTTACGGGGGCGCAGCCGCGGGTCCAGCCCAGTCGGCCCACACGGTCGCCTGCCTCAAACGACGGCAAGCTTGGTGGAGCCAAGCTGAAGTCAGCCACAATGGAAGTCCTCCAATTGTGGGGGAGGACGGAGGGGGGGGGGGGGAGCGAAAGACAGCTCTAGTTTTGGTATTTATTTCCAGCCATCAGCTATGGGATCCTGGCAAATCGTCAAAAATTAAAGGGGGCTCAGCATCCCCAGGTCCCTCCTAGTTTCCAAGTTCCTGAGGGTATAAGACGCGTTATCCATTTTCATGTTTGCTTCTCAAAATGACAACTGTGTTCACTGAAGCTTAATCATTTCTCGCATTCTAATGACCTTTTCTTCAGACCGGACCATGCATTGCCGAGGACACGGTACGGCGGAAATTCTCCTTCAGTTTCAATGCAACTGTGAAGCTATTGAACTTACAACGGCCACCTATCGTAGTATAGCAGCATACAGCGATGACACCACACTTCTCAACGTTACTTCACCGCCACGCTTCTTCGTATAACGCTGCGTGCAGATTACATGCAACAAACATGGTATCGTGCAACATGTGCAGGGAGCCTTACTGTTACGCCGAAGCATCCAGTAAAGCCTTCCCATTCTCTTCACACGGCTCACGGAATTTCCTGGTCACCACTTACTTATCGTCGGCGACAAATCTCCAGAGGTTGACCTGCAGGTAGTAGACGTCCACCTGGATTTGCTGCAAGCCGAACTTGTTGAACGTCTTCAGTCGGACGCACTCCAGCAGAGTCTGGAGATACGGGCAACACTTGGACAAGCACACGGCTGTCTGGGGTGAGCGCGCCTGCCATGTTTATCTTGCATCAAACGATATGTCCAGCAATAAACCCTATCTGGTGTAGAACCTGAACTCATAGTTACAGATAACGGAAACGTATGATCAACGGCAAACACGTAAAACGAGACGCTTGCCAAACAATGGAGTGAAACATAATTTACCTGGGTGCCCGTTCCGAACTAGTAAGCAGTGGCCTACATTCCGCATATGGCCAGCAGACTGAGCCCTCACAGCGCAGCAACACGGCTGCTGTTCGCTGCACTTCTAACGATTTCAGAGCGGCGGTGGTTTGTGAACACACGTGTTGGCTTGATAGATAGTCGCGACCACTGTTCGGATCTGCTCCCGCCGTCCGTCCCCGTACTAGCAATAGGTGGTCGTAGCGCGGCGTGGCTCGGCGGCCTCCACCGAGCGGACGTCAGCGCCGCGTACTACCTTCAGCGATATCTTGATGATGCCGGTCAGAATGGACGCCTTGGAGAACTCGACGGGCGCGAAGATCTCGATCCGCTCGGAGAAGAGCTTCTGGATGTTGGCCACCAGGCCAGAGTCGGCCTGGCTGGGCGCGTATGAGGACCATTCGTGCCGCTGCTGCCGTCCGGCACTGGAGCAGGCGCACCCGACGGCCAGCGTCAGTGGAGGAGGTGTCACAGGGCCGGCGTTACGGAACGGATGTCACGGAACGGGCGTCACGGGACCGGCGTCACAGGGGCGGTGTCACGCGACCGGCGTTACAGGGGCGGCGTCACGGAACCGGCGCCACGGAACCAGCGTCACGGGACCGATGTCACAGGGGCGGTGTCACGCGACCGGCGTTACAGGGGCGGCGTCACGGAACCGGCGTCACGGGACCGGCGTCACAGGGGCGGCGTCACGGGACCGGTGTCACGGGACCGGCGTTATAGAAGCGGCGTCACGGGACCGGTATCACGGGACCGGCGTCACAGGGGCGGCGTCACGGAACCGGCGTCACGGGACCGGCGTCACAGGGGCGGCGTCACGGGACCGGTGTCACGGGACCGGCGTTATAGAAGCGGCGTCACGGGACCGCTATCACGGGACCGGCGTTACAGGGCGGTGTCGAGGGACCGGCGTCACGGGACGGGCGTCAAGGGACAGGCGTTACAGGGGCGGCGTCACGGACCGGCGTCACGGGACCGGCGTCACAGGGGCGGCGTCACGGGACTGGCGTCACGGGACCGCCGTCACAGGGGCGGCGTCACGAGACCGGTGTCACGGAACCGATGGCAGCGTCGCCACGACCGCACGATCCGTACAGTCAGGTAAATTAGTGAGCGTCCAAATCACGTCAGCATTTGCGGTTGGAGAAAAACACTGCAACGCCAGTCCTGCGAGGCCTGCCACGGAGCTCGGTGGGGGCCCGACGCGAGCGACCGCGCCGGCTCCGATCCCGCGGCGGCGGCGCGCCGCCTGTCGGCTCACCCGTGCAAGGTACGCCGGCTGGAGTCGGAGCTGTTGTGCTGGTCCCAGCGGCCGGCGTCCTCGTACAGCGTGCCCACCTGAGCGTCCACTGCGGCCAGCTCCTCAACCACGCGCTTCATCACCGAGCGAACCGAGCGCGGCTCGCCGGCGTGCTGCCAATCGCGGGTGGACACAGACTTGCGCAGCATCTGAGGACCGCACTCTCAGCGTCACCAGGCGGCATTCTCACACAACGGGCGGCTGGTCGCCACTCAAACGGGCCAAACACACCACACAGGTAGCCGGTGCACACCGGTGGCAAGAGACGTACACCAATGAGCGTGTTCTGTCCTCCGGACCCACCTGGGACACGGCCAGGCCCTGCACGCGCACATAATGGTTGATAAGCTGCTGGCCGACATCGTGGATGTCCTGGTTCAGGCTGGTGGCGGGCGTCAGACCGGTCTTGTCGTCGATGTGCAGCACGTCATCCACGTAGTCCATCTGCAGAGCAGTACAGCACTCCGGTCAATACCCGATCAGCGGCTCCAGGTAGCTCAAGAAACACGTCAACGTATCGTCCCCACACAAAGTTCAATGTCTAGGCTCCATGCGCTCCGTCAACATCCATACAGGGCAGCGTGCAATGCACGTGGAGCGAGTTGTACCCCTCTACTCAAAGAGCCACGGGCGGCGTGTTCCAGGCCAATAAAAAACCAGAGCGCATGCCGCGACCTTGTGCCAGAGGCCTCGCAGACCGGGAGAGACGGCGTGCGCGGTCGGAGCGTCCCCCAGACCCCGCCGCCGACCCACCAGGTAGTGGACGGTGGAGGTCTCGAGGTCACGGCACGCCCTAGACAGCAGCAGCACCACGTTGGGCGACGCCTTGTCGCCGGCCGCCTGGCAGAAGGCGGCGCAGCTGGAGACGAAGTGGCGGAAGAAACCGACCAGCACGCCCTCGCGCACGTGCTGCCGGCAGAAGAGCTGGCGCCGACCGGCCAACGACGCGAACGACAGCTCCGGCTGGATAAATGCCTGACAGACACAGGAAAAGGTAACAACATTTGAATGCTGACTTTTCGTCACAGACGCACATACGCGCGCACAGCGTGGTCGATATTTGGCTAAGCCAAGGTTCATGTCCACGGGACGGTCTTTAATGTCCGACTTGCTCGCATCTTGGAGGTTTTGTAGAAACTAGCATTAGGCTCAAATAGCTCCTGCATGCCTCTGGCTTTTCTGTTGCAAATGTCATGTCACCTTAATTTTGCAAAATAGGCGTGAAAAGGGGCGCAACCATGTGGACGTTAACTTTATCACGTACAATTTCCAAGCTACCAGTTGGAAAATTGCGCTTGATACGAACTTCCACTACTGCCACGAATGAAGCACAAATTGCCAAGAATCGAGCTACCCGCACTGGGTCACAAAGGTCACGGCACGGTGGCGAGCGGCAGTCGGCCAGAGGTCGGGGCTCCGGGTCACACCAGCATGTCGTGGCGCTGCCTACCGACAGTCTGCCTGACTTCCCACACAGACCGGCGGCCTGGCCAGAGGTCGGGGCTCCGAGTCACACCAGCGTGCCGTGCCTCCGCCTACCGGCAGTCTGCCTGACCTCCCACGGACAGGCCGGCGCCGGCCCGCCTCTGCCTACCTGCAACGCGGCCACCAGCGTGCGGACCCGCTCCGCCAGCGAACCGACGAAGGTAGTCAGCTGGTGGGCGAGCGGCGCCGGCTCCGGGCCGCCGGGCGCCGGCGCTGATACCACCAGCGCCTGCCGCACGGCGTCCACGCACTGCTGCAGGTGTGCCTCCAGCAGCGACAGCGACTGGCGGCACTTGCGCTCCACGGCCGTCCAGATCAGCTGCATGCCAGCACTGCGGAGACGAATCACAGTCAGCTGATCAGCGGGGCCGGCACACACGCCCGGTCGGCGGACCGCGCGGATACACCTACACTGGCCAGGCAAATAGCCGTGGTAAACCGATGATGATCGGAAGATGGTCGATAGTTAACCACAGGTCGACGGTGATTATCATAATCAACTGATGATCGACGGGAGGTGGGTGCACCCCCAGCTGATCTGACAGGAGGCAGCTGTACCTCCAGCTGAGCTGACCGGAGGCGGGCGTACCCCCAGCTGATCTGACAGGAGGCGGGTGTGTCCCCAGCTGATCTGACAGGAGGCGGGCGTATCCAGAGCTGATCTGACAGGAGGCGGGTGCACCCCCAGCTGATCTGACAGGAGGCGGGTGCACCCCCAGCTGATCTGACGGGAGGCGGCTGCACCTCCAGCTGATCTGACAGGAAGCGGGTGCATCCCCAGCTGATCTGACAGGGGGCGGGTGTATCCCCAGCTGATCTGACAGGAGGTGGGCGCACCCCCAGCTGATCTGACAGGAGGCGGGTGTATCCCCAGCTGATCTGACAGGAGGCGGGCGTATCCCCAGCTGATCTGACAGGAGGCGGGTGCATCCCCAGCTGATCTGACAGGAGGCGGCTGCACCTCCAGCTGATCTGACAGGAAGCGGGTGTATCCCCAGCTGATCTGACAGGAGGCGGGTGCATCCCCAGCTGATCTGACAGGAGGCGGCTACACCTCCAGCTGATCTGACAGGAAGCGGGTGTATCCCCAGCTGATCTGACAGGAGGCGGGTGTATTCCCAGCTGATCTGACAGGGGGTGGGTGTATCCCCAGCTGATCTGACAGGAGGCGGGTGCACCCCCAGCTGATCTGACAGGAGGCGGGTGTATCCCCAGCTGATCTGACAGGAGGCGGGTGCACCCCCAGCTGATCTGACAGGAGGCGGCTGCACCTCCAGCTGATCTGACAGGAAGCGGGTGTATCCCCACCTGACCTGACGAAGTGGTCGCCGTCGGGCAGCAGTGTGGCGCTGCCCTGCAGGCGGCGGTAGAGCCGGTCGAGCGCGCGCGCCATGACGGCCGGGCTGGAGTCAGCCTCCTCCAGCTGGAGGCGCGCGTCGGCCACCGCCAGCAGTGCCGACACCTGGGCCGACACGAACTCGGACAGGCGGTCGGCCGCCGCCGGCCAGCTGATGGCGGCGGTCAGAGATCAGCCCGCGCCAACACACGACGACGCTCATCTGACACAGACACACGCCCAGCGGGCATGACACGCGATCAGCGGTACGGGCTATGGAAACACCCAGGGAGCTGGCAAGTCTCCAAGACTTAGTGACGGCGTGGGCAACGCCCTCCCCCCCCCCCCCCCACACACACTAACTGACCTACAAGCACTACAATCACTTGATCTGAGAACAGGATGCGATGAGTCGTTTGCTCGGTGACAGTGAAGTCAGAGCCACCGCAAACATGGTGTACTGCGGAGAATGACTACACCGCCAAAATGATCTGGATTATAACTGCTCCAGCCTGTAATCCAAATAGTGCTGGTGATTATGGCGGGTCAACCTGAATTCGATAGCATGCCTACCGGGTGATTAACTTCCCTCTTCGTTATGGAGAAAGGGCAATGAAAAAGGAGAGACTAGAATATCGAGCCCCCTTGGTTCCTGTGTCACAAAGCCAATGTGCTTGCCATTTGGGGCGAACCAATGTGGATGATTTGCTCGTGGTACAACCGAGACAACAAACACCAAGCATCGCCAATGCACGGGGCACGTCTTGGTAGATATCTCAAAATGCATCCAGTTGACTCCAGGCATAATTACTTTCCAAGAAGCATGACAACACCTGATCCGATTACCTGAGACCGACACACGCCAAACACCGGATCAGTCACTAGTGCAATATGCGAGGGGCGGATCCCTCTCCCCTAGCAGAGCTGTACGCACCTGTCTTCTTGGCTCATGAATAAGTCCCTGTATGAAGTCACGAACAGGCTGAGATTGCTGAGAAAGGTGCTGCAGCCCACGTCGACGAACTCGAGAATATCCTGCAAACCCAACATGTTACACTAACCCAATCACACCTACCCTGTGCTCAATATAAAAAACAAAAACGGAAGACAACAGAACAACAAGACACAAATTAGACAGGAAGGAATATAAACTTAATCTAACCAATTAGCGGTGGTGCAAATTAACTGGGTGTACTGTGACAACTGCCAGACTGTAGTCTATTCAGGAAGTAGTACACCATCGAACTAGACACAGATTCTGCAACACATCTAAAGGACTCATTAGCTGGCAACTACCCATACACAGCATGCAGCCTTGGAAGCTAGCATAAGGGCATGCAGCATTCCTCAACGAGAGCGTCCACGACTGCATGCACCGAACAACCACCATGCAAGCCAATGCCGCATGCAACATCAACAGCACATGCACAATCACCAAGGCATGCACATGCAGCATGTCACGGTACATTCAACATCACACCTATTCCGTGACCAAATATACGTTACATTAGTATTACCGCACAGGGTCACACACCTAGGCCATGTCGGTCAGAACATTTAAAGTGCACAGCAGTTCCTGGCGACGGGTGATCAGCACAAACTGCGGCCACGGAGGTCTGGCCGGCACACACAGGTGAGCCACACCAGCCCGGCCACTGACCATGGGAAGCTTGGCATCGGCGGGCGGGTCGCCCCGGCCGGCCACCCGCAGCAGCTCCAGCTGGCCGGTCAGCTGCGCCAGGTCGGCAACCAGTCTGCTCTGCGCATGCGCGATGACGCGCTGGCAGAGCGCGTCGGCCGGCTGCTCGAGCTGCAGCAGCAGCTGGACAGCCTCGCTCAGCTGTTCAGTGCTCGCCTGGCGGTGGAGGTGGGCACGTGACGGCGGCGGTCCGGCGCAGGTGACCCTCCCGCAGTCGGCACCCTCGGGAGCCCGCCAGCGACTGCTCACCCAGAGGAGACCGGAGGTGGGCACGTGACGGCGGCGGTCCGGCGCAGGTGACCCTCCCGCAGTCGGCACCCTCGGGAGCCCGCCAGCGACTGCTCACCCAGAGGAGACCGGAGGTGGGCACGTGACGGCGGCGGTCCGGCGCAGGTGACTCTCCCGCAGTCGGCACCCTCGGGAGCTCGCCAGCGACTGCTCACCCAGAGACCGGATCCCCTCCCCCCCCCCCCCCCCCCCAGCGGACATCCTGCCGCCGCGCACGGTAACGGTACTCAGCACCTGCCAGTGGGATGGTCAGTCCCAGTCGACGCCGGCACCGGAACGGAATGTGCACGGATCCCCTAGAGAGCATGGGAGATGTATCGGTCGACGCCTCGCCACCCCAACTATCAAACATCGCCTCTGGGCATTCGTGGCGTCTCAGGCTTTCAGCGATCAATGCTACCAATCAGAAAACTCATGGGTCGTACAGGGCGAGGAAGGTCAATTTGGAGCATGGAGGACATATACTCTAAGTCGATTTTCACTGTGTTATTGCAAACTTTACCAGATGGCACACATAGATGGTACTCAACTCCTCACCAACATTTGCATCACCGTACCACCGTGGAGCAAATAGTCCGCCAGAGTACGGGGCAATGTTTTGTTGCGGAAAGTACAACTGTGCACAGCATCAAAAATAGCCTGAGTAGGGCCGACCTGAAAACCAAAATCACGCGCATGACTCAGTATCGACGAATTACGACTGATACAGTTTACAGACAATTTCGCATTTCGGACACACGCAGTCTACATTTGACATTATTTGAGACCGCAGCGGGCACCGGACGACTCGATGGCGCGCCAGATCCACGGCTCTGGTGATCCACGCCAGATCCACGGACTCGATGGCGCGCCAGATCCACGGCTCTGGTGATCCACGCCAGATCCACGGACTCGATGGCACGCCAGATTCACGGCTCTGGTCATCCACGCCAGATCCACGGACTAGATGGCACGCCAGATCCACGGCTCTTGTGATCCACGCCAGATCCACGGCTCTGGTGCCCGGTACGGTGAGCACGCCCATCTCCAGTCCTAGGACCCCACCATCCAGCAGGCGAGTTAGGGCCGTCTATGAGACCGTCACTCTGTGCGCGCCCACCTGGTCGTCCTGGAGCCGCTGATGCAGGGCCTGGACCAGCTGGACGATGCTATCAGCCGACTCGGCGCGCAGTCCGTGCAGACTGGGCGTGTCGGGGGCCGGTTCGTACTGGTCTAGCACGCGCTGCGACTGCAGGTAGTACTCCACTGCCTGGCGGGCGCGCACCAGTCGGGTCAGGCGTCCGGTGACCCAGCGCCGGACGCAGATCGGCACCACTACAGATACACCGAAATGATACATAGTGGCGAATGGTGAACGATGCCGCGACAGATGTCGCTGCTGTGGTAGCTGTCGTCACAGTCACGGCACAAACAGACGCCGCTGACTGCCCATGTTGAAGCCGCAGCGATAACTTCTGTCATTGAGTGCCTACAGGGACGGGTGTCAGCTCGACGCCGCTGCACGGACGGTGACCAGGCCCAGCGGTGCTGAGCCGCCGCAGGACGCCAGGATCGCATGCTGCCCTGATCAGCTGCACCCATCCGTTAGCGGTGACACAGGAGCAGTCGTCACTCACCTGTCTGTAGTTCTCCTTCTGAATGGCATCCCTCAGCTGCGAGGGTAGTTCGAACAGAAACTGTAACTTCTTCAGCATGACGTGAGTGCTAGCCAGCTTGTTCATTTCGTCCCGCCGATCCTGGCGAAATTGAATTTGACTCAGTTATGAACGTTAGTTAGGCAAATAAATCAAACTCTGCTCCCAGGAGGTAATGTATTTCAAGACCTGAACACCAGTGTGAGCAAACGTCGATGCGTGTTCCTGCTAGTACGACACATGCCAAATCATGCCGAGGGCAACTCCACAGCCCAGAGTTGGTCAGACCAAAATCATGCCGAGGGCAACTCCACAGCCCAGAGTTGGTCAGACCAAAATCATGCCGAGGGCAACTCCACAGCCCAGAGTTGGTCAGACCAAAATCATGTTGAGGGCAACTCCACAGCCCAGAGTTGGTCAGACCAAAATCATGTTGAGGGCAACTCCACAGCCCAGAGTTGGTCAGACCAAAATCATACCGAGGGCAACTCCACAGCCCAGAGTTGGTCAGACCAAAGATGGCATCTCCACAGCCCAGAGTTAGTCAGACCAAAATCATGCCGAGGGCAACTCCACAGCCCAGAGTTGGTCAGACCAAAATCAAAATAAATGTGACTAGGATTCCAATATAACATATCACTAAACAACGAGCATATTTCGTCGATTTAAGTTACGTTCGAGGAATTTCCAGGGTTTTATTTACTTAAGCTCAAAGCATTCCTCCAACAGTACTTCAATGCACTACTTCAGCTCAGTGTATCCTGATTTGCAAGACAAAGTGCTGAAGCACAGCAATGCTACAGCCAGAAGCGGTACTTCCGCAGTCAGTCACGACCTGTCGGATGTCACGTGACAGCCGACATAGGGAAACTGCTATGTGACAGGTGAGAGTGCAGGCATGGTGACAGCTGACATGGGGGAATCATTTGTTCTTCAAGAGAGAAGACCTTTCTCAGACTATTTCCGCTTTAAGCGCATACCTCACAGGCAAACACAACCTCCGGATCCTAACAATGTCACTGCACACCGTTGCCATTATGTTGTCTGCGTGGGATTGAGTGCGGGCTTGGCACGTGCTCGTTGCCATGCCTGTCAAACGTATGAGGTCTTTGATTGTGGCCAGCAGACTGATAAGAGCATTGGGCTGGGTTTGTAAAGTAGGACCGCAGCTTTGTATGGACCTTTATGAAGTTCATTATATCACAACACTTTGATACGTTAAAGATAGAGAGTACGGTGACCTCCCGATGATCCACGGCGCAGTACAAGGTCATATACGACAGCACGGAAGGCGCGGCTTTCGCGGAGACGGGAGGCGGAGGCGCGGAACATAAGAGCAAGGCGTTGGTGACAGACAGAACTTGGATGTGATTTTGATTGTACTTCTGTCTCTGCATGCCAAAACAGGCAGAGACTGTGGGAAAAGATGCTGCAGTGGTATGATCAGTAAGCTTTTAAAACCTGTACACTATGCTGTGCAAATGAGTACTGAACAGATGTACAGTTCTCATTTCATACAGACATCAGACTATTCTATAATACAATAAAATACTCTCTAAATACATGCTTTTCAAATATTATATAAATCAAACAAACAACTGGTGTAAATTTCTAACTTAAAGGGCCATCCATAAATGACGTTTCTGCATTTGTTGACGTTTCAACTCTCTCTCTCTCCTTGGCTACATTATTAAAGAACACACCCCCAAAAACTAGCATCCGTTTGGCCCCTCACTTGAGCTAGAGACACAGAATATGTTACAGATGTCATTTCAACACAATTTAATATTTCTTTTAAGATTTTATCCTGATTTGGAACCACACCCGAACATAATATTACAGTCTAAAGCTCCCTTTCCACTGTTAACTTTTTGTTATGTTCCACTTCTGTCCCCTCCCCTTACCTTCACATTAAAAGTTCTGTTACGGACGGCCATAAGGAACACAAGCTCGTTACGAGCATGCCAGGATATGCGGCAGACAGGTACATCTAATATCCAACATTGCACTCAATCACCTGAATGATAAACTTGAAATCCATGATGGTACATACATAACATAATATGGTATGAAGTGACATTGGTTCATGAGAGCTTAACTTTGAAGTTTAAACTTGGCTTAAAAATTTGAAGCCAAATATCCAAGAAAGGTTTGACCAAATGCTTTAGAACACAGATTCTCACATTACCTGCAGTGTATCAGACACTGTGCCGGAAAAGGCAGTGATATGCTTCATGTTCTCAGCAAGCAGTTCCATCTCATCCTCCATCTTCTTGAAGTCCACCTTCATCTTTCTGATGGTATCTGTGGCTGATATGAACTTGTTGTAGTTTTCATAGACCAGTGTTTGCATGTCGCTGTCAAGAGACTGTATCTGCTTGTAGACATTTGCTTCAGTGTCCATCAGCTCGGTTAAAGAAGATTCCTGGAACCGAAGGATGTGGACACCAGTCGCATCTTTCACCTGCAAGGCATGTTCATGCTGTTTTGTATGCAATGGTGTTAAAATTTTAGTAAAACATGACCATCTTGCAAATGGTCCACTGACAGTCTGAAAAACATCACATGTATTAAAATTGCATAGAATGCAGCTTAGGAGGTAGGAGTTTCAAACAATGATTGGGGCTTTATGTCTCACCGACTGCCAGAGCCATTCCAATACAAATAGGCAAGTTTTATGGGACCATTCAAAGTGCAGCATGCCCACATTCCTTATTGCATCACTGCGACACCAAAATTGGATTTTACACAACATTCCGGAACCCTTACTGTGCGCTTAAAAAGTCAAGGCATAACCAACAAAACAAGGATAAAATCAAGCTCCTACCATAAGCAAGCTTACCCTTAATAACTGATGAAGATACATGTCAGGATTAAAATGAGGTGAATTTAAATCATATAGGTCATTTTCAGACATTTCTCTGGACGTTTTTACTTGGTAGAATTCTCTTAAAGCAGCATTATTGGGCTTCTTCGCCAACTCATTTTCAGACATATTGAAAAATCTGCACCTGGAAAACATGTTATCAGTACATGAAATGCTAAACATGACCTGTCAATAAAAAAAGATCCTCTCCACAAAATCCATACTTTTTCAAGCATTGAATGCAGTGATACAACAGCTGTTGGTATCAGTCACTACTTCCAAGCCAAGCTTGAACATACAACTCTATCAGAGCTACAAAACATTGACAATAGCAAAAGTATTACTCAGTGGCCATGTCATGCAGTATCATCACACCATTCACCATCACACCCTTTCCTTCCAAATAGCCCTGGCTGATCAGTCTACGTGATTTCTGTGTCTGAATAATTCCCACAAAAGGGAAATCTTCTTAGGCAATCAGCCAGGGCATGGCACAAATTTGCTAGCATGCTACATGTTGAGTACATGAGACACCCATTGGGCCATTTTGTAAATATTTTGGCCAACAGCTGTGATAGAAAGTGAATTATCAGACTGTGCCTTCTCACATGGATGTCTGGCATGCTAGGGTCTGGGTGTCACTGTATTAGCATCTGATATGCTTGTGTAAGCTTAGCATCCTATGGGTGTTTTGGTGTCCTGGAATTAATTTTTTTGTGTCTTGCTGTGACATGAATGGTGTAAAGTGCTTCTAAATGCACCTTCACACTGAAGCCAAAAAAGACCCATCAATGGCACATGGGGACCTGGATGTCTCATCAGACTTTGGATAGGCCAAACCATGATGACAAGTCTCAAGTTACGGATTATCTCATGCAAAAGAATGAATGAATCAAACACAGGATATCTGACCAGACCTGGAGCATCCTCATCAACCTTTGAGAGGAACCATATCTATAACTGGAGGTGGCTGGCCCAAATACCCGAGAAATTTTTCTACACATGAGTTACCAGGCAAAGATCATGAAATCAAAGAAAATCAAACATGAGAACACTGATCACCTTTGCAAGATTCTGCTAATTTTACATGCAACTCAGTCCACCATCCAGAACATTCCATAGGATCTGCAAAAGGTTACTCCACTGGGTGAGAGGCTGTCTGCTCAAGGAATGGGGCATTTTCAGCGAAAATAGCTCCATCACTCCTGTGTGAGTTCCAGTGGATTTGAAAGATCTCCCCTCATCATGAAGTACCTTACTGATTCAATAGCAGGTCAGCTGGGCAATCAAGAATGCCAAGTATGCCTGAAAGTGATCTGATCTGCCCAATAACAATTACTCCTGAATTGCAGCAAACAGCCAGCCTCATGGTTATACCAGCTTGCTTCAGAGAGGATGCTCACTACAGTTGCCACTGACTCCAAATTTCACCCACCAGCCCCATGCCCAGCACAAAATTTTATATTCCCAGGCAAAGGGAGGCTCCTCCTGTGCTGAACATTGTGGGACAAGATGCTGGCATTTGGGGGTGTCAAGCAGTAAGAAGCTAGTGTGTGTAGGGGTAGGTGTAAGAGTACATAAATGTAGAAGTAGGTGCAGTAGGAGTAGTAGGAGTAGATATAGTATGAGTGGGTGCAGGCATAGGATTGCAAGTAGGATTGAGTTGGATTGGGTTCAGTTATGTTCAGTCAACATATGGAAGAATTGAGATAAGGTATTAGCATCATGGAAGAAGTAATTGTTCAGACCATCACCCTTGTCTGGTGCACTAGCAGTTAGCACATATATTGTCTGTGTGCACATCATCCTCATCTGATGTGTTAGTGGGCACACAACCTTTGTGTGCATCATTGTTGCCTGGTGTGTGCATATTAATGCACCACACATGGATACAGTTCAAACAGCTGATCTATCTTGCTTCTATGTTATGTTAGGTTAGGTTAGGTTAGGTTAGGTTAGGTTAGGTTAGGTTAGGTTAGGTTAGGTTAGGTTAGGTCAGGTCAGGTCAGGTCAGGTCAGGTCAGGTCAGGTCAGGTCAGGTCAGGTCAGGTTAGGTTAGGTTGGGTTAGGTTAGGTTAGCTTAGGTTAGGTTAGGTTAGCTTAGCTTAGCTTAGCTCAGCTTAGGCCAGGCCACATTAGGTTAGAATAGGTTAGGTTAGGTTAGGACACCCACAGTGCCCATCACCTTGAATTTCCAGTACTGTCATAAATTACTTGAATGACAATACCTCAAACACATGTTCATCTTATCCTCATCCTTGATTCCTGAGGCAGACATGGCAAACACTGCTTGCACCTGAATAGTACCAGTGCAAATATTACTCTTGGTTTTTATATTATGGACAAAATGTTACTGTATGACTGCATACATGTTCTGAGTATACTATCTTCACTGTACAAGCAGTTAGTCAGTTATGCTTACATTAAATATATCAGTAAAAATCTTGACTCTCACACATCTCAAAATATTTAGCCTCTGGGTGGTAGGGGGATGTCAATATTTTGTCATGCCATCACAACCCTGGCTTGGGTTCACTGCCCGACACCCCTCTCATTGCTCAAAATCAGTTAATCAGCATCATACTGGATAACTTTCAGCACAGCATTCAGGTGCCTCAAGCTTCACAAATATACAAATGGGCTGAGTTGGTCAGGCATCTGGATTTGGGGTCAGAGGGCAACAGATAAGCCCCAAAGCATTGTGCACAGCAGCTGCCAGAGTCAAGATGTTGGTAGCATGAATTGTATTTACACCCTGAACACACCACTGGATGAATGTTAGGAGACTGCTCTGACCCAACCCAGGCATTTCAGCAATTATGAGCTTACCCCTCCTCCCAATAAAAAATTATACACCACACATACCCAAGGAGCTAGTGGCATATGTTGCACCAATTATCAGGCATACATGTGCATCCTAGTCACAAAGTTGACATATCATAACTTTCATTACATAAATCTTGTGTTTTTGCAGCCCAATTCATATATGTTGCATACGTGTGGAACTAGAAAGCATTTCCCTGTTGGCTGTTGGTAGACACTGCTAGTGCGTGAGCTGACTGCGCCAGATTTATTTGCTCAAGAACAAGGCAAGATGAGTTACCGAGCTCACCGAGGACCGACTACCTACTCATATGCTCACAAGCGAGATGGGGCCAACGTAAAGCCTGGGACCCTAGGACAGAATCACACAGCACCGCCCCACACCAATGCCCTTCACATCTACCGCAACACGGAGGATGCGCCAGTGCAAAATTGAATAGGTATGACCTGTTTGTATTACTCGCGCCATCATCACAACCAACAGCATGCACCAAATATGTTAATTTCCTCTTCCGCCAGGGGAAGTTCTTCTCGCATGGGGCAAAACAAAAAATAACGATAATCATGTATAGTTATGAAAACTCTACATATAAACTGAACTAACAACGTCATTCGTAGTTCTAAACTGAACTATGAATGGCGTTGCTATCCAGTGCAAAAGAGAAATCGCAAAAAAGAAACTGGCTACCGGTTCACATATATGCGCACCTAGGCACTTGCCAAAAGCGCGATCGTCACTGCGCGGATCACCGGGCATCACTCCCGGTTCACAAATGGCGTCCCATAGACCGCTAAAGCCTAAACTGCTGCCTCCAGTAAGTCCGTGGTGGTAATAAGAGAGGGTGATGCTTGGAGGGTTCGCTTCAGACTTCGTGCTTACTTTGCCTTACCGCAAACAATTCCATTTAAACCAGACTTAGGCTTGTTTCCACTTCAGAATCAGTCCTGGCTGATTCACATTGCATGAGTTAGATTACGTTCTCCCTCTGTGTTTGATTTGGCGCTCGAGCATCCACAGTCGTTGCTTAAGCTCCCATTTGAACCGACACACGATGACCTGCACGACTCAGCCTCGATTCCGACTCAAGTAAAACGGAATCAGTTCTCATTGACCCACTAACAGATGGTTAATTGAGAAATGTATTTCGACGCAGCCCGAAAGCAAACACAGCCCTCCTCTCACAATTGTTCTCCATTGGCTCAGTTTAGGGCACCAGCTCGCCGCACTCGGTGCTAATCACCCATGCGTTGGATACCGATGACGTCCTGATGATCAAAAACCGCGGGCAATGTGATGTAAGTCTCGATTAAGGTAATGTGAGGCTAACTAACTCTCGCTCCGCACATGTATATCTCGTCAAACAGAGCCTGAGCGAAGCACCCATCAGTTGTATTCTGGAACAACCATGACCTTAACGTAAAAGAAACAGTGACACAACGGCGCACCGAAATCTCATTAAACACCTTAAGCGCATAGGTGCACAAAATGCTCAAAAACATAACGTTTCAACTAACTCACAACTCAAGTCAAGGACATCGCCGGTGAAATCTGCGTTAATCCCACAGCAATATCCACACACCAAGAGCGGTTGTACTAAGACCGAGGACCAGCTGAGTGTGACGCCGCGCTGGTGACGCCAGTCGGCCCTCGCTGGCGCCGCGGGGGCACCCCTCTCGTGCGTGGCGTAACGACAGCTGACAACGGCCCGGGACGGGCACCGCCGCCGCGGCGGGAGGCCTGCCGCGTCATCTGTGGAGAGGCGCAACTGCAAGAGCTGACGGGGCCGCCACGTCAGCTGGCAACCGCGAGAAGCCACCAGCCGAGGGACAGAGTCCTCCGTGGCGCCGGTGTCACGTCAGCGTCCGGTCGAGAGACTCGACGCACGAGCGCCGGTGACCGTGGCGCTAATGGTGCCCGCGGCTGTCGCCCGAGTTCCACCGCCAACTGCGCGCGGCACCGCACCGCAGCGCCAGTCCTGATCATCCGTCGCCGCCAGCTGACGTTCGCGCCGGCGTCAGCGCCCGCCGGCTCCCAGCGGCCCGCGCACACCGCGCCTTCACCTGGGCCGCAGCCGCCACCACTGTCCGCTGTTGAGCCGCTTGAACATGACAATGCGGCCATTGGAGGTGACGTCGATTCGCGACGAGCTGCTTGTCAGCTCGACGAACGTGCCGACCAGGCGAGGGTCCACCTGCTGCATGTATAGCCGCAGCGCGTGGCCCGTCCACTTGGCCTTGAGAATGGCCTTGGCCAGACTCTCCACCTGTCGCCTGGTGATGGCGCAGGTCGCGTGGCCGGCTAGCGTCAGACTGGAGAAGCGCAGCTCCTGCAGGTGTGGCACGCCCGTCGCCATCGCCTGCACCAACCATTGTTTTCCGCACTCGGCGGCGCGCGCCGTGAACTGCGACTTGTCCACGCGCACCGTGGTCAGCCGGCTCCACTTGCGCGCTGCCGCCTTGGTCTCGGCGTACGCCGCCTCCGGGTTGGTCACATCGTAGCTCCAGCCACAGATCGCCAGCTCCTGCAGAGTCTTGAAGCTAGACAGACCGGCGAAGAACGCCTTGACGGCCGCATCGTTGAGAGGCGGCGCCGCGCTGTGGCTGAGGTCGAGCTGCTTGAGCGCCGACAGGCCCTGCAGCAACGGCAGCAGGGTGGCACCACGCAGTGAGTCGCCCGAAGTCTCAACCGAGCAGTTAGACAGGTTCAGCCGGCAGATGCTGGCGCACGGGAAGGTGAGGTCGTCGACGCGACAGGCGAGCGTGACGCGACAGTCGGCCGCGTCCAGCCGCTGCACCGACGTGTTCTTCATCAGGCTACGCAGCTGGTCAACCGATGCCGGCGACTGAAAACCAGACAGACTGTTGCACTTTGGACGCACGGACCAACACGCAATGCGCTAGTATACAGATCACAGGGGGCCATCCCGTGAATGTCGTGCGAGAAATCATCTAATCTATTTTATTTGTTATCACATGTACGTTTTATTATATCTAAATGTATAAAATTATCATTACATATAATACGTGTTCTATTAATCATCAGGTAAATAAAACATCTCAGTGGCGCCCAATGTCAAAACCAACAACAGGTAGTTTGTAGACACACATAACTGCGTAAGTGGAGGGCAGCAGTATCACATTTCCGTCCAGTTTTCTTTTTTGGCGGGGTGGATCCGTGGGACGGTCCGTGAATGAGGCACGACTCGCGATCGGGCGCCTGCGACGCTCGCGCAGCTAACACTCACCTCCAACTTGAACTTCCACTGCTGGATGTTGAGCTCCTGCAGCGACGCATTGTCCTCCAGACAGCGACAGAACACTGAGAAGAGGAAGTCGTTGACGTCGCTGAGCGGCGAGCGGAGTAGCAGGCTCTCCAGCCGCCGCGCCGTCGGAAGGCCCGTGATCAGGGGGAAGATGTTGGCTACTTTCTCCACGTTGGCAATGCTCAGCGCTGTGAGCGACTCGGACTTGCGAATGGTCTCGCCGAGGCAGACAAAGTCCTGCTTGGTGAGTGACTCCCTGCCGATGGTGAGGTTCTCGAGGCGGGCGCCGCGCGAGCGCACCGCCTCGAACAGCTGGTGGTAGCCGCTCCTGTGGCTCATCTTGTCGCACATGGGCAGCGGGTACATGGCGCGGGAGCCTGCCGGCCACCATCGTCATGTGCTAATGCCATTGACGTCCGGGTCACAGACCACCGTCAGATGACAAAATAGGGAGGAGAGCTCACGAGCCGCCGGGCCGGCAGCGGGCTTCAGGGCTAATCACGCACCTCATTAATACACCCTAATCGCTACGAAACCAAGCAGTCGCAGGATGATCGCAATACGCAACAAGACGATTAGAATAAACATTGAACAGACATGGAATGACAAGAAGAAGCCCGAGACCGTGAGTAGCTCCCAGATGAATGTTACCCTCGACAGGAAACGGTTCGAACTTTCGGCTCTTCACGCATCCGACAAAAATCCCCGCGACGACCAAAGAGATAAAAAATAAATCACCACCGATACAGCCTAGCATTGACAATAGGCCTTTAAGTCAGCCAAAAGGCTTGCATAATTGGCAAGCATCTCCGCTTCCTCATAAACAACCAGGCGTCAGTCGCTCTCAATGGCACAACAGCATACCTACCGCACCCGTTAGACACCGGGCGCTCTCAACCTCTCCTCGGCACGGCGTACCCGTACCCGTACCCGTACCCGTACCCGTACCCGTACCCGTACCCGTACCCGTACCCGTACCCGTACCCGTACCCGTACCCGCCTGGCCCGCCAGCCACCCTTCACCTCTCTCACGCTGCCACCACGTACCCGCCTGGCCCACCAGCCACCCTTCACCTCTCTCACGCTGCCATCACGTACCCGCCTGGCCCACCAGCCACCCTTCACCCTCTCTCACGCTGTCCCGACGTACCCGCCTGGCCCACCAGCCACCCTTCACCTCTCTCACGCTACCACCACGTACCCGCCTGGCCCACCAGCCACCCTTCACCTCTCTCACGCTGCCCCCACGTACCCGCCTGGCCCACCAGCCACCCTTCACCTCTCTCACGCTGCCACCACGTACCCGCCTGGTCCACCAGCCACCCTTCACCTCTCTCACGCGGCCTACCACGTACCCGCCTGGCCCACCAGCCACCCTTCACCTCTCTCACGCGGCCACCACGTACCCGCCTGGCCAACCAGCCATCCTTCACCTCTCTCACGCTGCCACCACGTACCCGCCTGGTACACCAGCCACCTTTCACCTCACGCTGTCACCACGTACCTACCTGGTCCACCAGCCATCCTCCATCTCACGCTGCCACCACGTACCCGCCTGGTTCACTAGTCACCCTCTGCCTCACGCTGCCACCATGTACCCACCTGGTCCACCTGTCACCCTCCATCTCACGCTGCCGCCACGTACCCGCCTGGTCCACCAGATGCCAGATGCCGTCGACCACGCGCACCCGTCGCTCGTCCTTGAGGTTGACGGCCAGCACGGCATTGAGCCGCTCAAGCTCCTGGTCGGGCCCGGTGCGCGGCCGGTCCGGGTTACTGCGCGCGCGCAGACCCTGGTCGGCGGTCGGGTGAGGCCGGCCCGGTCCGGCCCGGTGCAGAGGCACCTTCCGCACCGCCTCCGGGCTGACGCTCATCTTCCTGTTGCGGCCCATCGCCTTGCGGTTGAGCTGAGTGTAGGAGGTGCAGGCCAGGTCGACAGGACCGTCCACCAGGAACACGGACACTGCGGCAAAGGATCGCCCGTCATGCCCGCACGTCAGAGAAAGTCAAAACTAATGAATGAAACTGCGCTTGGAGACACATCACCGGGCAAACTCAAGGCCACTGGGACGCTGATGACGCAAACCGGCCTGGGAACCAAGTTTTAGCAAATCCACTGACGCAGTCACACAGTCTCGAAACATTTAAAACTCAGCTAAGAGCCCAGCGAGGCCGATTTATGTCGGCCATGAAACACCACTGACCGACACATGAGCGAATTGGACAACAAATAACCCGGAGAGGGGCAAGACAGCATAATCCGCTGACCGTGACCATCAATTTGGAATTGTTGCCGTGACAGAGCCAATGGCGGTCGCCTACTTCGTCGTGGCAAAAAGTGCGGATGGCCCGATGAAAATGGACGTCACCGGCCTGGTATCGAGTAAACAGTATGCTACACATGTGCGCAAGAAATGAGATTAAATGTTCTTCCACACTCTTGCCGGAAATAAACTAGTGATGGTCGGGTATTGCACTTTAACTGTACTTGACCTGCCCCTAACGCGCTGCCCATAAGTACGCGCTAATATCAACGTCACGTCAGTCATGCCCGAGTGCTGTGCCGGGTGCGATTACCATTAGTGTGTCCCAGTGCTCATGTCCGGCGCGGCGGTGCAGCGAGTGCACGCCGTACAGCATGAAAGCCGGGAACGCTCGCCGTCGCGCATTGGCTGAGGATGAGGCCGCTACGGGGCATGACGTCACAGAACGCTTACCGTCCAGCGTTTTAAGGCTGACATGCTGCCGTATCAGAGCGGCCAACGCCGAGAAGCCGGCCGCGTCGCAGTAGAGGCGCGGCAGGTGGAGCGTCTGCAGGCGCGGCACGTGCGTGAGGCCGGCACACAGCTGCTCCGACATCGGGCTTGACAGGTTCATCTCCACCGTCAGTCGATGCAGAGAAGCGCAGCAGCGCACGTAGCGCGACAGCGACGTCACCACCGGCAGAAAGCTGTCGGCGGCGTTGTCGGGCGCGATCGCCTTCACATGTAGCACGGCCAGCCGCGCCAGTCGCGCGCAGTGCTTCATACACTCGCACATGGCGTCCATGAAGGGCGGCGGCACCTCGGACGAGTGACCGTAGAGGAAGGTGACGCGCAGGTCGGTCACATTGGAGCAACTCTGCAGCGCCGACCAGAAGTCGAGCTGCGCCGTCACCAAGTCGGCCTGCGTGGCGGCGCCCCGGCCGCAGTCAAACTCCCAGATGAACTCGATCTCGCTCACCTCGCTGGCTGGCGACGACAGGCAGAGTGCCCAGACGGCCAGGTGCTCGTCCGAGCCGCGGATCACCACCTTGTCGTGCGGCATGCGGCGGCACACCGCCGCCACATTCTGCGGCGAGTCGCCGGCCTCGCGCAGCAGGCTGAACACAAAGTTGTGGCCCAGGCTGACATCATCCGCATCCAGCTGCTCCATGACGGTCCAGGCGTCGGCCTGCAGCAGGCCGCACAGATACTGCAGGACCAGTCCGCTCCGAGGCGCGACTCGTACCCTGCCGCAGCCGCAGCAGCTCCCGCTTAAGGTGCTCCTCCTCGTGCACGATGCTCTTCAGGTACTTGGCCGCCAAGAACTCCATGAACGTTTTGTGGATGGGCTCGTAGTAGGTCTCGCTTCCCATGTACGAGGTGAAGTTGCGGCACTTGACGATGAAGCCGACATCGAACAACTTGCCCGCCTCGCAGCCCTTGGGGATTTGCTGTTCGGTGAAGGACAATTGGTCGCAGGCTAGGCACTGGAGACAGAACTGGCCGAACCTGCCTAGCGCCTCGTCATAGCTGGCCGCCAGGCGGGCGCGCTCCTCCGCCAGCGGCTGCGGCAGCCGCCGGTGCACAGCCTTGTCCACCAGGTAGAGGAACAGCTCACTATACAGTTTTGATTTGGTGGCGCGACCGCCAAACGCACCGCGCTGATGCATCTCGCACAGCAGCAGGCACATGAGCGGACACTGCGCCAGCTCGCTGACGCTCCGGTCGCCGGCCAGCACGCGCAGGAACGCGTCAATGCGCATCTGCGGCCGATCTTTGTACACTAGCCGCACAAACTCGGACTTTTTCCGGTCGTCGAAGCCCACTAGGCCGACCACCTGGCAGTACTTTTTGAACATCATCGTCATGGGCCGTGACGTCATCACGGCGCCGCTGTGCACGAACGCGCGGCCCGACATGATCTGGTCGATGGTCTCCCGTCCCTCCTTCGGCAGCTCGTCGTAGCCGTCAAAGATGAACAGCACCTTCTCTTGGTTGGTCTTCAGGTATTGCAGGAATGCGTCGCCGTCGCCCAGCTCGAGTGGGTAGTGTTGCGACTTGATGTGCTCGTCGAGCGAGCCGCGGAACTCGCGCAGCAACACCAGGAAGGCATGGCTGAACTGTTTCAAGTAGTCCTGACCGGTGGCCCAGTCGTAAGCGACCTTGGCGGCTAGCGTTGTCTTACCGTAGCCAGCGTGACCTTCGACGACGATGCGCAGCGCCCTCTCCGGCTGCAGCAGAGAACACAGTGGTGGGGGAGTTTTGCCAGTAAATTTGCTAGACACCTGAACACCATGGTGGCGTCAAGCACGGCTAACGTCAAGATGGCGGCAAAGGAAGCAGGGTCGGGATTTCAGCCGGCCGCAAGGAAGTTGCCCCACTATGTAGTTTTGCCGATTTTACCGGTCAAAACATAAGCTGGCAGAAATTCAGGAAACTTCAATACTTCTCTTTTTGTCAAATATGCTGCGCTATTATGCAATAACAATATTCCTTGTTGATTCAAAAGACTATGAGGAACACACTATTCTGGCAATAGCACGATTGAAAGGTGGCATATTTACCATATCGTTCCACAAACTAGTGTGTGAGCCCATGCCATGGGACTGCTCATCACAGCCGATGTGAGGCATGACTTCCCATTCTACAACTGGCCTCAATACGTCACCGCTCCGGGAGCGAGCAAGAGAGAGTGAGCAGCGCACTGCAGCAGTGCGCTTCCCGTGATATGCTTTAAACGCCGACTGGATAAGATGATGGCCAGTCGGGAGCCTTCTCTTGTACGGTATTCAAAGACCGGCCTAGTAGCAAAACGTTTTTTTCTTCTTTTTTGCAAACGCAAATGCCCAAGCCGCAAACAACTCGGTAAGGTTAAGTTTGCCCTATCAACATCCATATTGACCACACGTTCATGAAAATGAAAAGTTCTGTAAGTTACCACTGAAAAGAAAGTGCAAAATGGCGTGAGCATATGACACGGGTAAATCGTATAACCAAAATGGCGTGAGCGTATGACACGGGTAAATCGTATAACCAAAATGGCGTGAGCATATGACACGGGTAAATCGTATAACCAAAATGGCGCGAGCATATGACACGGGTAAATCGTATAACCAAAATGGCGTGAGCATATGACACGGGTAAATCGTATAACCAAAATGGCGTGAGCATATGACACGGGTAAATCGTATAACGCGGAGTGGCGTGGCTTTGTGAAATGCAATCTGCCTTCTCACAGCCTAGATTCAGCAGGATTAGCCTATCGCGAGGTTGCCATTCGTGTGTTGCAGGTCAGCCAACAAGCTTTTTAAGACTTGTTATCTCGCTCACATTTAATCAATGTCAACAGCTGGTCATCACATGTATCTTCGGAACAATTTTTGACGGCGTACATTTTTTTCGCCGAACGGTCCTTATAATTGGCAAAGCGTTCACATCGTGGGCGTTGTGTCCACACTATCCAAGCTAAACATGTAATTTAAAGGGTACTTATGTCGGTGCTGTTACATTTTTGTCAGGTTACGAAATGCTCTGCTTTTCCAGTTTTCTAGTTTCTGTCATTTCGTGCCACCGATAGTTTCTACCAGCCGGCCTTTACCGGTGAAAAAACAAATGGCTGGCTGAGCTACCAACCGGTTTCTGCCAGCCTTCGCCAGAGATCCGCTCCCACCCAATCTGTGACAGTTTCTCGATCTAAATCCCCGGATCGAAAACCAGTTAGTGGCACAATAGTCAATAGAAACGCCCCTGGGACCAGGACGTGCATATTTGTTGTATCACGTGCAGCTGTATTTGTGCAACTGCATACACATTCCCAGTCGCTCTTTACTACACGTGTCGTTCAGAACATACGTTTCGCTGGCAGAAAGAAGCCTTGTCGACGGCGCATGGTGAAAACAGTACCACTGCACGCGCTGCAGCTGCGAGTACGGTGTCAGCGAGCATTCAGGCCACTGACCTGCTGCTGGCGCCCCAGCTGCTCGCGCACCAGCTGCTCCACGCCATTGTAGGTGCCCACCGAGCCGCTACCCGTCGACACCATGGTGAAGTCGACGCAGCTCTTGCTCAGGTCAAGCACCATGTCGTCATACCAGGGCAGCGGCATCGAGAGCGTCGTCCAGGAAGTGTAGCGCGTCTCCAGGAAACGGCGGCCCTCCTGGAACTGGCGCGGCTCCAGCGAGACCCGGCTGGGCGAGGAGGGCGCCGATCGTGCCGCCTACAGTGCCAGAGCCCAGCGTTATGGTGGTGGTCACACCAGCGGCCTGTTCCGGACCACGAATATCTCAACGACGCAGTGGCGTCGCCAAGAGGAGCTTTCGGGTCCATACAGCGCACAGGCCTCTGCAGCACTCTGAATGCTCCAGTACATTTCGGTGGTTTAAGACACCTGCGGGGCTTCTAAAGACATACGCAGGCCTAGATGCATCATAATAGAATCACGAGTCTTGAAGATCATCCGAATAAACACTAACCAACCAACCAGGACTACCTTGCCTGCGATGGCCCCTACTGGTCCGATGCTGTCTCCTCCTGGGAGTAATCCTGGTATACCACTGCCGTGGTGTGTGTGTCTGGCTGCATATTGTTAATGGTGATAGGCGGCCGAAACACGCTATAATGGCGGGCGCCTGCGTCACGAATAATTAACTTACCGCCTACAAATAAAACGCGACGCCTGACTGCAAATGACAAAATGCATGGTGCCGATGACGGGAGACAAGGTGCAGGCAATAAAGGCGCTAAACTTAAAACTGAAACAGACAGGAATTCCTCGTGGATCAAAAGGGACTGCAGTGTTACGCACTCCTTGGGATATAATGTGCGCAGATGTTCGTTGACTTTTGAAAAGCTCTGAATGTTGAATTCTGTCGAGTCTTCATGATCAATGACCCGCCACATTCGCCTCACTCGGCTCCTGCCGACTTCCTCCTCGGTCTTAACTATAATTTATGCTGGTCATGTATACGTGAATCGTACGTTTAAATAAGCTGGACTAGTTAATCAGCAGATTAACAGACTAACGGTGCATCCGACTAACGTTCACCTCTGCCGTCTTGGGAAGCACACGTTGCAGATTAGTTAGACGCATGCTAGTTGTGCCAACCGGCCACATCAGTTCAAACCCACACAAAGGTGCAGCACCCTTTCAAAGTACAGCCGACGTTCAGAGACGGACCATACCGATGCGGTAGCATGCTATTCGGGGTGACTCAGGCCCGTGGATGACGCTACTCACCGCGTCGTGCCGGACCGAGCAGTCGTAGCCGAAGTAAAGCCGGTCCGCGAAGATCGCTTTTGCGTTAGTGTGCACGATCTCAGTCTTGTTCACCTGGATATACTCGTGCTTGTTCTGAATGTGTTCGTGCTTGATGTTCTCCGTTTTGCTGTGCACCTCTGTTTTATTCTGCACGTGCTCGTGCTTGCTGCGGATGTGCTCGTGCTTCTCCTGCACGTGTTCATGCCGGTGCAAGTTGTCGACGCGCGAGTCGAGCCGCGCCACGTGGATGTTGCGCTGGTCGATCACCTTGGGACCCACGTGCACGTTGGACGAGTCGCGCACGTCCATGTGCAGACCGCGCATGTCACTGCTGACGCCCGGGCTGCCCGTCTCGTCCGACTCGAGGGTGGCCTGCTCGAGCAGCACGCGCGTCGGCGGCAGTCGCCAGCCCTCCTCCGACTGGCTCCTGCCCGTTTCGTCTAACCGGCGGGGCCGCGGCGAGGCCGCCTCCGAGAACCGCCGCCCACCCGCCCCTGCCGCCGTCACCGGCCGCCGCCCGCCTGGGGGCGTCCTCTCCGCGTCCGGGTACTTCGGGTCCGTCTCCTGGTATGGATATTTTGGGAAAGTCTCCTGGTATGTGTACTTTGAGTCAGTCTCCTGATAAGGATATTTTGGATCTGTCTCCTGCTTCGGGTACCTTGTGTCTGTCTGCGAGAACGGGTATTTTGGGTCCGTTTCCGAATACGGGTACTTGGGGTCAGTCTGTTGGTCCGGGTATTTGGGACCCGTCTCTTGGTACGGGTATTTGGGACCCGTCTCTTGGTACGGGTACTTGGCATCCGTTTCTTGGTATGGGTACTTGGGGGCCGTTTCGTACAGAGGAGATTTCGGAGCCGTCTCCCAGTGCGGACGCGTCGGCTCCGTCTCGCGGTGCGGGGGGCTTGGATCGGTCGCCGGCTGCGGGTACCTGGGTCCCGGGTCCCCGTGCGGGGAGCTCGGGTCCGTGTCGAAGTGGCCGGCACCGGTGTCCTGCGGCGCGGGGAAAGTGAAGCGCTGCTGTTCGGACGGTGTCGTCAGAAATGCCTGGAACACGGGAGTCTCCGACTCGGCCACGGAGTCGCGACTGAAGCAGGCCGGCCCGGCGCCCGGCACAGCCGGCCCCTGCAACACCGGGCAGCGTCGTGCAGTAGCGCTCCGCCTGTGAGCTGCACGGTACTGGTCCAACACCGCGGCCCGGACAAGCCTACGCTCGTCCGCGGGGTACGCGGGTCAACCCTGACGGTTGCGATACAGGCTACAGAATCCATGTGCCATGTTGAGATACGGATGACGGATGATGAGATTCGGAGATGCGGGATGATGATGAGATACGAGATACGGGATGAAGGCGCCGCCTCTGGATAGGAGTTTACATCCTGTGCTCGTTTACCCCCAGAGGACGTCCTATTTACAGATAGTGTCAAAAGTGAGCAGCGTCTCAGAACGGCCTTCTCGGAACTTCGCTGTTACATGGACCTCTTGGTACCTTTCAAAGGCCTAAGAGGCATAGATGCAGCCTGCAACAATACGTGTCCTCGTTTGTTCCGGCAGGGTTGTGCTGAAAGAGCACTGTATTGTCCAGCCCCGACCATATCACTTGCATCCTCGACTTCTAATGACCGGCGGCTGTCCATGGCCTACACCCCCTTCCCCATCGTACAATATGCGGTCTAGGTTCCGAGAACCAATGCACAGGTGGCACGATGGCACGTGCTGCACGTGCGTGTTCATGTCCTCATCGACCTCCCGAACAATCTTGGGACTGTGAGGAGCAACGACAGCCACCCTCGAACGGACCAGAGCCCTGATGTGACTGATAAGAAGTTCTTCGGCACGCACAGCCCGCGTGGCGCCACCGGACGACCATTTGGCTTTAACTAGCTGCTCGTTCAAGCTAGCGGCGGGGGGTTTCAAAGCGCTAGAGGACCTAGCATGAGGGCCAATATGCGCCACCAGCGATGTTAATCGTCACCGCACGATCGTTGACGGATAACCTGTGCATCGCACCAGCCGGGTTATGGGCGGTATACCCCACTTTAGTCAGGCAGGAATAGCAGTACGCTGCGTGCGTTCCATCCGCCATCCGAGTTGACGGAGGATCAGTACCATTGCTCCGATGAAGAAGTGGCCGCGCTCAACGCACGCGTGTTGTCCTGTCTGCTAGCGTGTGTCGACTTTGCTGGTAGAAGATCGGCTGGCGTGAACGTGATCAGAGTGTGCTGTTGTGCCGTGGACTCAGGCTGCGGATCGATTAGATAGCGGCCGTATCGTCTACGTCGCTACGGCCAGTGGGGCTGGCCCGAGCCGGGGCAGAGCGCCGCCTGCTGCCAAGCCCGCAGGCGGCCAGAGCAGGCCCGCACAGCTGACGCCCGCAGCCACATCCGCTCGCGTTCATCAGAAGACATTGGTGACATCAATGCGTCGCTTTGGCACATATAATTACCGACAAATATGCAAATAGAGGCTTCATGCCGGTTGTAATGAATAAGAATCGTCACTTCTTTATTACAAAGGCGTTGAATATGGTATACAACTATAAATATGCAATACTGATATTCTGCTGCAATACTGCTTGGCAAAAGCGGTCAGACGATCCAGCTGGCCCCGGCGGGGGCGATAGAGGTCAGCAAAACGTGATAGTGTTCACGGTTGGCCAAACATAGCCGCATGCCGCGTTCCACCTTTAATGCCGGAATGACACAGGTTTCCGTAAGCTCATAATCCGCTTTATACCCCTGAGTGATTTGTTATTCACAGTGTATTCAGCGGCGTTGTGGACCCAGGCACGGGCGACAAACGGCCAATCCACAAGCGTACGAGCATTGTGGGACGGGTGGGCCAACAGAGACATGGCGAAGCTCATGTCGAAGGACTTCCAGTCGCTGACACTGTTGGCGAAAGCGCGACATTAGCCCTGGGATGATGCACGGAACTGATGTAACTAAAAAAATGGGGTTTGCCACTTTTTGGCGCATTCCTACGCCCCCGAGGAAACTGTCCAACCATTATGGTACAGCTAGCGCGTCGAGTCTGCACTGTTCAATCGGCGCACTGGAGTGAGGCGTTACCGGGATTTGATGCCTGACGTATAACTGATCGTTTCAGAAAAATTCAAAAGGACAATAGTCAAATGGCAATAGGTCATATGGCCAGGATACATACAGGATAACAGTCTTCCATTCCCTTATAAGTGACCTGGATGCTTAGTCCGTATGCTCCGCAACGGCCTCATCTCTTGTACAGGATGAGACCGCTGACATGTCGGCTCCGAGCCGTCCGGCGTGCATTACACACAACTAAACTAAAGGATATGCACGGCATAGCTGCTCCTTGCCTGCATGAAATATAAAGATTTCTTACCCGATACTTTTCCAGGAACGACAATAAATGTCAGTCCTTAGCACATTATTCTGGGATCCAAGTCTACATGTTTCCGGTTCAGTAATGTGCGGTGGGGACACAGTGTCTGATGCGGGAATATGGTAAGTGAAAAAGCCATATGTGTCGGGGTACAGGTCAAGCATAATCTATGGCACGGCTACATATCTTACCCGAGCTGGAACGACACAAACCCTGGAATCGACTAATGGCTTCCATTTCAGTGATGGGCTTTGTATCCCAACACATGGCTTCCTGATCCGGAAGAGAGGCATCCGGGATCAGGAAGTCCTTTGGTACCTATAGGGGCCTCCTGAGCCAGAGCAGGGGCATTGTTATTTATTGAGGGCAGTACCATCTGGAACTGGGGTTTCAGCTTCATACGGGGCCTGCCGAGCCGGCAATCCTTTAGCACAAAACCTAGCCTCGTGACCCATCGTTTCTATTTTGACTTTTAACTCGTTTTACATGTATGCGTCTGACTTTTGTCCCTTTCGACTTGTCGCTTATTTGGCTTCTCGAGTCAGTCGTTCTCATTCTGATTCTTCTCAGTCTTGGTCCTATCAACTTAGCAGCTTTTTACATCTGTGTGTTTAACTTGATTCACTTTCGACTTTTTACTAATTTGACCTTCATCTATTTTGCCCTTTTGCCTCTTTGTTTGTTTCCTTTTTACTTGTATTGCTTTGATTTTTGACATGTTTTCAGAGTTGACTCCTTATCCTGTTGACTTATTTTGGACCACTCTAATTTTATCCCTTGATGTTTTGCCATACGAATTTCTCACATATAACTCTACGTCCTCGTGGCTTCTTGGCTTTTCACTTTTGTCCGGTGATTATAACACAACCTCTCGGGGGTCAAAATGGAGTTCTTCGGGAATGGTGGGAAGGTGACCCGCCAGAAGACAAAGCCATTGCACCACACAATTGTCACTGCCGAAGGGACAATTGGACGATTGGAATTGGACCCCCCCCCCCTAAAAGCCTCCAGGGAGGGTCCATACTCCGCTCCCCCCCCCCCCCCCCCCCCGCCGCTCCGTGGTGACGTGCCTGGCAACAACCTCGCACGACGTCATCAGCGCACCGCGTCAGTGTGATACAGCGTCCTGCCCTGCTGGTGCGCCAGAGCCAGTCCACCCGGCCGGGACAGCGTCAGTGTGCCCTGCCCTGCTGGTGCGCCAGAGCCAGTCCACCCGGCCGGGACAGCGTCAGTGTGTCCTGCCCTGCTGGTGCGCCAGAGCCAGTCCACCCGGCCGGGACAGCGTCAGATTGCGTGTGCCCTGCCCTGCTGGTGCGCCAGAGCCAGTCCACCCGGCCGGGACAGCGTCAGTGTGCCCTGCCCTGCTGGTGCGCCAGAGCCAGTCCACCCGGCCGAGACAGCGTCAGTGTGTCCTGCCCTGCTGGTGCGCCAGAGCCAGTCCACCCGGCCGGGACAGCGTCAGTGTGTCCTGCCCTGCTGGTACGCCAGAGTCGATCCATCTGGCCGGGACGGCGTCGGTGTGTCCTGCCCTGCTGGTGCGCCAGAGTCGGTCCATCCAGCCGGGACGGCGTCGGTGTGTCCTGCCCTGCTGGTGCGCCAGAGCCAGTCCACCCGGCCAGGGCAGCGTCAGTGTGCCCTGCCCTGCTGGTGCGCCAGAGTCGGTCCATCCGGCCGGGACGGCGTCGGTGTGTCCTGCCCTGCTGGTGCGCCAGAGTCGGTCCATCCGGCCGGGACGGCGTCGGTGTGTCCTGCCCTGCTGGTGCGCCAGAGTCGGTCCATCCGGCCGGGACGGCGTCGGTGTGTCCTGCCCTGCTGGTGCGCCAGAGTCGGTCCATCCGGCCGGGACGGCGTCGGTGTGTCCTGCCCTGCTGGTGCGCCAGAGTAGGTCCATCCGGCCGGGACGGCGTCGGTGTGTCCTGCCCTGCTGGTGCGCCAGAGTAGGTCCATCCGGCCGGGACGGCGTCGGTGTGTCCTGCCCTGCTGGTGCGCCAGAGTAGGTCCATCCGGCCGGGACGGCGCACACAAGCCCAGTGGGCCTTGCGACATGACAATCAGCGATCGCTCCGTGACGACCGTGCACTAGGCTTCCCAGGGTCTCAAGCATTCAGCTCCCTGGACGCCTTGGGCCGAGTCCTTCACTGAAGATCATGCCGATAACCCAGCCCCGAGCCGGCATTGACCTAGCATCCTTGTCTGTCACCACTGCCGGTCATTCTGTGGCGGCTGACACTCGCGAGGTCCATATATGATGCGCCAGGATTTAGACGATGTACCTAATGGCCCCTATGGTGCACACGTTCTGGACTCCGCGAGTTGCGACATGCATTACTGTCAATGACAGATGCGAGCGTAGGTTCCAAATTATTGGCAATACATCGGTGAAACTGCACAGGACAATGCGGTTAAACGATTGTCAACATCCTAGAAAACAACGCGCATCCATCCCTGCATTTGCCTCCACCCGAAAAGACCGGGACTCGCGAGCGGCGCCACCGCCGTGACCAGCACCACCACCACCGCCCACTGACGCCTATTCGCCATTACAGCAGCTCCTCTGCCAGCGTCGGTGGACTCTGTCAACACCGAGCGGTCCTCCACCTGCCCTCAGGGTGTGTCCTTCCGAAGAGAGCAGCTCTCCTTCTGACCTGGGCACGTGGCTCCACTCACGCCGCGTGCCGAATACAGACCGCCATCAGCCTGCTGAGCGATGCTGGGCGGGGCCAGGGCCAGGGTCGCAACGGTCACGCTACTAAACAAACCCCCCTGCTGCCCCGCTGATCCAGACTTCTTCCGTTTTGCATGTGATACCCGTTCTTAACCCGACCAAAAAGCACAACACGCATTCTGAATAAACAGCGCCACTGGACGCGAGTTCAGACACGAAATTGCAGCCTGCTAGCGCAGCTAACAATTGAGCTGTGGTAGATATTGCAGCTGGACCCCCTCCTCGCAGACGTTACTGTTGCGGAGACCTGCACACGGGCAATACTTAGATGGGCCAAACATTGTACCTGCGGATGGGTCAATCGCAGATGGGCCAAACGTTGTACACGCGGTGCCGAAGGCTCGCCGCACGCGCAGTGGATGGCCAGTTACAAGTTGACGTTTCGAGCTGTTTCACAACCCACCAGTGCTGCCTACTGCGGTGTCACTTGTGCCCGAGGCCAGCTGGAGCGTCGCCGGCGCCGCGACCGGGACCGGACAGGGGACGGTGTGCGCGTTAGTCAGCCGCGCGCTCACCTGTCTCCGCCTGGCGCCGGTGCGCCAGCAGCTGCCGCGCTTCCGTCGGCCGGTCGGTGCCATTTGGAGTCCTGGGATCCGTCTCCGCGGACATCCGACCCCGTTCACCCTGTGGACGAAGGTCGGCAGCCGGTCACACGGTCAGCCGCCCGCGCGCCCGCCATTCTAGCTGCAGCGATAGACAGCCGATGGAACAATGAAGCGAGGTCAACTGCGGCTACAGCCGGGGCAGCTGCATTGGTGTGACAATGCCGTTGGACATTTGGCTGTCATCAGGCCGGGTACCATCGACAGATAAGGTCGGACTCTGGTAGGATGTCGCAGCATGGCATGTATACCCGGAGGTCACAAACTACCATTTGTTTCCATTGCGCCACAGTAGTGTTGGCTTCAGGCCAGTATAAAGAAACTTAAGAGCGAGTTCAGGGACAACGTCACCACCTGACGTAAAAAAACATGTCAAGCATGCGTGAATTTGAGTGTTCTCTGGCGCAGGAGATGTAAACATGAATAGCGCGTAGACTAGGAACACGCAATACACTAGGAACACCCACTACAAGGTAAACCTCCTCAAATAAGGGGACCCTAGTCAGTAACGAAGCCACAGAGCCCAGAATCTCGCCCGGGGATTGGCATCAGCTCGGTGCATTAAACAGCTGAGTGAATGTGGGCCCATCCACGGGTGATGCCTCAACAAACAGACTTCCGGCAGGGCGTGTCACGGTCGACGAGAGCAGCCGTGTTTATTTGTTTGTGAAGAGCGTAAGTGATCCACAGGCTAAAGCCTACTTGCGGAGCGTACAGCTATTTATAAACAAAATTGATATGCGATAAAAACGAAGATAAAAAAACAGATCGTACACACACACACATACGCATTAAACACAATCACACATACGCCCCATACACTCAGACACGGAGTTAACCAAAAGAACCCTTCACGACGGCAGTGAACCTGAACAGTTCGGATCGGAGCAATTTTGCTCTGGAGAAAGTCGAGTGAGGGAAATTTTGAAGAACGCAACTGCAAGTGATGGATAGACACATGACATATCGCTTTTTTAGCGTTGAGTCTGGCAAATGACTGGTGCAAAAGGTCAGTGCGCCAAGAGCGTCGGGCCGGTGCAGCCAGACCGAACAATGGGGACAGGTGTTGGCGATAAAGCCTCTGATAATAGAAGCCGCAAAAAACCACACGCTGAGCTGAATAAAGCTGAATATGCTGCCTTGATAGATGTTCTAAAATAAGCGAAAAGATGTGCACAATCCAGTGGGTGACATCGGGACTGATCGCTCAAAACAGCTTCAAACGAAAGCGTAGCACAACCAAATAACCGATCAAACAGCCCCCCCCCCCAGACAGTTTTCTCACGCCTCGTAGTTTCCGGTGCCCAGGTACCAGCCCGGTGCCCAGGTACCAGCCCGATGCCCAGGTACCAGCCCGGTGCCCAGGTACCAGCCCGATGCCCAGGTACCAGCCCGGTGCCCAGGTACCAGCCCGGTGCCCAGGTACCAGCGGCGGGCCAGGTCATTTTACATTCGAGCTCATCCACGCCACACGAGCGCGGCCGACAGCATCACGATGGAGGCAGCCTCTCGGCCTCCGTCCGCGGCACCAAGGAGGCAGGCAATCTACACCGGACTCCGCTGCCCCACACAGGGCGTCGAAACCATCCGCCCGGGCTAGGTCCCAATTTAACGTATTTTTGTTTTGTTTTTTGCATCCGCGCCTGAGTGCCCTGGCGTAATGGTCTCTCCCGCAGCGGCCGGCATGCGCTTAGATAAATGGCTGTATACAGCTGGGTCCCGCAGGTCTCGTAGATGGGAAATCTGAGGTAAAGCGACCGGTGTTCAAAACTTGTATCCCTCAGATTGTAATCGATTTCTGAGTATAATGGGAACGTTCTCCATCAAAGGGAACATTCCATATTTGTATGGGATTTTGAACCGAAATAGCCATCTTGAAACCTTTTGGTGCAGTTCGCAGTCACGCTCTTTTTAAGGCCTAAAGCCCTCTGGTTCTTAAGCTTAAAGGTCACAAAGATGTGGGAGAGAAACTTAGGAGAGTATATGAAAATTACGCTGGCATTCATGACGTCATAATAACGTCATGCAAATCCTGCCATTCCCCAAATCATAAAATGACCGAGGCCCAGAGAACATCATGACCAAATCATTCATGTCTTGCGTTTGTGAGCATGATTTCCAGCATGAAGGCCATCAATTGGCTTTTAATCAATGTTGTGCAAGGTACAATGACGTAATTAATGACAATGACAATGACAAATCAGGAGCATATTTGCTAAGCAGGGAGATTGGGTTGTCTAGATCAGTCTTTTCTGCTTAAAAGCATAGCGACAGTTAACAGTGGACTTGTTTCATCATATCTGATGCTGACTTCAATATCTTGAAGTGTGAAACATTGCCTTTTAGTGAATTACGTGTGCAAGTAGCCGTACTGATTGTGTACAGAAGCGCATATCTGGAATTGCAGCGTTCTCGGCTTTCAGATGGTCCGATTCACGTCTGCTGTACGCTCCAGCCGCTGCCCCTTGAACCGGCCGCCATTTGTCAATCCCAAATACGGATTTCACGTTCGACCTGAGCTGCATTAAATGTAGAACAAAGTGCAGATTAACCTGCCCGCAGTTTGCCATTCAGGACGGAGTCGAGGCGGCTTGAGGTGGGATGGAAGTGGCCATCGACAGGCGGCGCCATGCATAATAAGGCACTCATAACTCACGTGGAGATATGACCCAGCAACGCAGGAAACCTTTTTTGCGGCAAGCAGAGTACAAACACGAAGCGATTTTAACGCATGACATGCGCTCTTTCGATCCATCTTCGGGAGCGAGCAAGACTGTACAGCAATAACACAAAGCCGCCTTATACAAGACGCATTCTCGGTAACCGATTCCCAGGCGGCATCTGGATACCTACACATGATATACCAATGATACCAACAATGATCAGGCTGCGTCCGCGGGGTGTACTTCCGCAAAACCCAGCCGTGGGTGGGGATGGGGAAGGGGGCAACTGGGTAGTGAAGAATCATGCAACGCTCCCCTAAAATGCACCAACAAACAAATTGTTTTTCAGATTTGGCTCATCCTTTTTGATATTGGGAAAATGCTGGAGGCCCTAACTGAATGGAAATACCATCGCAAATTATTGACCTACATTGAGTCGCAGATTCCAGCCAATCTCATCCAACAACACGCACAATCACAACAGCCCGACACGAGACAGTGCCTGCGCCGCGACCCCCCCCCCCCCCCCCCCTTATAACGAGCGCCTGGTGTGCACGGTGGGGGTGACTGGCAGCGTGATCCTGAGAGGCGAAAGGTCACGAGCAGGTGGCGGCACCAGGCTGCCATGACGGTCAGCAGCCCAAACATGATATGAGAAATATCAGCTCTACCGTATCGGCAGTCGGTTGCTTTTGCCGGCGACGCGGAGGCGTCTGGACTGCCCATGTTGCGGATTTGGAAGTTCTAGAAGGCTGTATCCGTTAAAGACCATATCAAAGGAATCGGGATCAGTTTAATTAAAAATGGCTGTTAAATTGACGGGAGTACATATCTAATGTACTTCTGATTCACAGATCAGATGCGTCCGATTTCATCGGTGATATCAGCTTTATCGAGATCCTTTTGAACAGCTCAGAATCATTTGAACTAGTCACGACGGCAGGAGAAATGCCATTGGAACCCCAGCATATCACTATGAAAGTCAATTTTTCCATTTGCTTTGCTTTTTTCAACGCGTGAGTCATACAACATTTGCAACACAGTTGTTGGCAAAATGTTGTGCGGGTAAGTGCAGCGAGAGCTTAAAACACTCCGGTGGGCATACAAATAATATAACTATATGGTTTGCGTCACGCGAATTTAACGAAACCTCATACTATGGCTTTTCTTTCTCCTCTACGACGTTGAGCATATTTTTTGAAACACATTGCAGCCTTAACAACATTCCTTAAACAGATGCTGAATTTATGTAATACACAGATCATGTTTACAAAGCAGGTTTAACCATGCCACATATCATTTGGTAAAGTGACGCACTGGTTCAATCCTCCACCAATGCGCTCCTCGCTGAATGGCTCGCGCCGTCCACGTGCCAATAATAGATAAACGTGAATTTATACTGACGTCACTCATGTAAAAAAGGGCCATTTTTAGGCCCGCAGGCGCGCCAAACCCGGGCAAAAGCATTAAGTGGTACCTCCAAGTCGTAACATCTGATGACAGCCTGCAGAAAATATTCCGCAGGCAGCTGTTACGGACAAGAGGTACCACTTTTGGGTTCTCTTTTCCCGCGCTCTGAGGGCCTGGGGGCTTAAAGAGCCTTACTGATGTAAATTTGTATGTTAATTTTGAACGTCATCGATGTGAAACCTCCCACACAGTCATGGAGGCGTCGATGAATATTGCACCGGATGTCTTCAGAGCATCCAGACCGCCCACGCAAGGAATACAATTTAGGGCTAAAAAGGAAGACAGGAGCCGGCTGCTGTAATGAAACGCTGGCTGCCTGTTTTTGGTGCCAAAATATTGAACCTTATTTGCTAATTTTGCTTTTGTGCACGTTCTAAAGCGCACATTATCAGACATAACTGGTGCTGAGGTTAGACCAGGGTATCCTTTTACAATATGCCCTAAAGGTGACACACTCCCTTTACATGCATTTGTAGGGGGATTGCTCCTGAAATACAGGACATAGCTACTTCTCAAAGAGCTTCCCCACACAGTTTCATAATTCTGCCAAGTGTTCTGCCTTCAGCCCACAGTGTTCAAACAAGCGCCATGTCCACGTGTTTTAGCACACAAGACAAAAACAGAAGAGAGTGTAAACCAATTGAAACGCGCAACATTTCAAGTGTTGAAAGTTACTGCGGTCGAGAAAACTGAAAAAGTCAGCATACGCATTTTGTGCTACTTGTAACCAAATAACCCAATACAAGATTAACCCAACCCCCGTACAGACAGGCACCAGTGCCAGTGATATAGAAAACACGCAGGTTATATGTTGGTACTTATGCATGCCGCTCAGTGTCCGCGCAAAGCCGCGCAGGTGCCTGCCCTCTTCAAAGACGCCTTGCACCTC